AGCATGACATTTAGGCCGCAAGTTTCCTGTCTGGGTGTTTGCAGTGCTCTTCTCTGCCGCCTCCTCGTAGAATTTTTACCTACGTGATCCTGGTGTTTTGTTTTTGTAAAACGTCTTGAAAATTTGGAGATTCTTTTTCTTTTCGACGAATCTTGGTTTATCTTTTCCTCCATGTGCTCTGAAATTCTTGTTTTAGTGTTTCCTTACACATACAGTTTACTGTTATTTTCTGTCCTGTTTTCATTTCTATCCTACTATTTTCCCAACTATTTCAATTTTTCTGTCACCTTTTCTCTCTCCTCTCTGCTATGTATTTATCATTGATGGGACACTCAGATGTTCTTTCTTGTTCTTCTGACGTGCATCGTGGGACCTGAGGTCACCATTAGATACAGATGCCTGATGGGCAAGACTCAGATTTTAGAGTCAGACGAATCTTTGTCCAAATCTAGCCTCTGCCTCTTACTAGCTGCGTAACCAGCTGCGTCGACTACCTTCTTGGTAAAATTGGGATGAGAACCCACACTGCACACCAAGTTGTGAGAGTTAATTGCTGCTGTTTAATAAATTCCAAACCCATGTCTATAAAGCACCATGACCGTCTACGATAAAAGTCTAGTTTGATCATGATTTTACAAAACACAATTCTTTTCATGGATAGTTTACAAGATGGATAGCTACCTGTGACTTAGATTTATTTTACAGCTATAGCTGTACACTATAATTTCTTTTTTTTTCTTTTTTTCTTTTTTTACAAATAGTTTATTGTCAAATTAGTTTCTACATAACACTCAGTGCTCATCCCCAAAGTGCCCTCCTTCATGCCCATCCCCCCCTCCCCCCCACATCCATCAGTCCTCAGTTTTTGTCAGCATTCAAGAGTCTCTCATGGTTTGCCTCTCTCCCTTTCCCCCACCATTTCCGCCCTTCTTCTCCCCCTTGGTCCTCCGTCAAGTTCCTCCTAATCCTCCTATACGTGCAAACATATGGTATTTGTCCTTCTCTGCCTGACTTATTTCGCTCAGCATAACACCCTCAAGGTCCATCCATGTTGCTACACATGGCCAGATTTCATTGTTTCTCATTGCCATGTAGTATTCCATGGTATAGATAAACCACATCTTCTTGATCCATTCGTCTGTTGATGGACACTTAGGCTCTTTCCATGTTTTAGCTATTGTGGAGAGTGCTGCTATGAACATTGGGGTACATGTGCTCCTATGCCTCAGCATTTCTGTATCCCTTGGGTAAATTCCTAGCAGTGCTATTGCTGGGTCATAAGGGAGTTCTATTGTTAGTTTCCTGAGGAACCTCCACACTGTTTTCCAGAGGGGCTGTACCAGTTTACATTCCCACCAACAGTGCAGGAGGGTGCCCGTTTCTCCACATCCTCGCCAGCATCTAGAGTTCTCTGATTTGCTCATTTTAGCCACTCTGACTGGCGTGAGGTGGTATCTCAGTGTGGTTTTGATTTGTATTTCCCTGATGAGGAGGGATGCTGAGCATCGTTTCATGTGTCTGTTGGCCATCTGGATGTCCTCTTTGGAGAAGTGTCTGTTCATATCTTCTGCCCATTTCTTCACTAGGTTGTTTGTTTTTCGGGCGTGGAGTTTGGTGAGTTCCTTATAGATTCTGGATATTAACCCTTTATCTGATATGTCATTTGCAACTATCTTTTCCCATTCCGTTGGTTGCCTATTAATTTTCTGGGTTGTTTCCTTGGCTGTGCAGAAGCTTTTAATCTTGATGAGGTCCCAAAAATTTATTTATGCTCTAGATTCCCTTGCTTTTGGAGAAGTGTCAAGTAAGAAGATGATGCGGTGGAGGTCAAGGAGGTTGTTTCCTGATTTCTCCTCTAGGGTGTTGATAGTTTCCTGTCTCACGTTCAGGTCCTTTATCCATTTTGAGTTGATTTTTGTGCATGGTATACACTATAATTTCTAAAACTCTGCACATAAACAATGTCACAGGTCAGAGAATTAAACTGATAGACTGCAATCTCTGGGTTGGGTTAGGAATGTAGGGACCAGCCTCATCTCTGCTGTGGGTTCCATCGTAAGTATTCCTGGCCATTCAGGTGATAAAAACGTAACCTGGGTGACCGCTTCGGGGTTAGTTCCCCACTGGATTCACACTCCTGTGCCTCCAACCACTATATTTCCCAGTGACCACAAGCCCCGCTTTCTGAAGCACAGAGTAGTTTCACCTTTCATAAGCTTGGAATGAAGAAAACAGTCTTAATGATGATTTTTAACATCAGTGACGTGCCCTTCACTACTAACAATCAGTTCGCCTTCCTAACCTGGGCTTAAAACGACCCTATTCCTGCTCTTCAGGCTGTGCCTTGTGAACAAGCTGCAATTTTAGGTAGTTAGCAAGTGGGCTTTTTTAAGATGGGTGAAATCATACACGCTCACGTCTTTGTCACTTTAGTGCCCAAAGTGCTAAAATTGTACATTATTCACAAACTCCCAAGTGAGAGAGAATGAGAGACATAGTATATCTTGGCACCAGGGAAGGAAGTAAAGCTCTGAGGAGACCCAAAACATTGTAACCCGGGCGTTATTACAGATGCACTATAGGCGGTGGGGTTTGCTTATCTTTGTAAATAAACCTGTCCATCTGGTTTTAACCAGAAAAAACGGAATTCATAGCATGATACACGAGGCTCTTCCTTTTGCCATTTAAGACGGCAGGGTGATGAGCCTCCCTTTCTTGGAATGCTTTCCCTACGACTTCTTGCATTTCTACTTCTTCAAGTTTCATATAACATATATATGCCGCAGTTAAAATTTAGAATTCGCTTTTTGGGATGGATGGAATAAAATGCAATAGACCCTAGAGACAAGAAAAATGTGTTAAAGGAGACTCCCTTCCGTTGGACGGAGTCTCCCTAAGAGATTAGCGACGGTGTTAAGTTGGGGTGGGTGGAAAGTAGGGGGAGATGAATTTACATGGCTTATGATCTGATTAGGAACAACCTTACGACTTCTGCTGTACAGGGACTGACGTTGTCAGGGGTCTGTGTCTGATGTGACTGGCAGCTGACCTGCAGGGCTTGCTGAGTTGGGTGCTGTGTCTCGGAGCTGGTGGCCGCTTTTTGAGAAATGGACTGTTCCTTGGAATGTTTGTTTCTGGTCTCTGGGTAGATTTGTAGGGGGAGACGGCTCCCAGGCAATGGGACTTGGCCTTGGCCTTGGCCTTGTTGGACACAGGATTCCCATCCTGCAGAGCGAAGAGGAAGGACAGGGGCTTGCCAGGATGGTGGCTGGGCAGTGCCCAACCTGCAGCCCAGGCCCATGTTAACAAGAGAGGCGGAGTGTGTTCTGTGCTTCATTGTGTGTGTATTTTAAGCAGAAACTAGTCTTGAGAGCTTACATAGAAAACATCTCGAACAACCCATGAAATGGTAAACAAACCTGCTATTGAAAGAAAGAATGAGAAGTTGACAATTGCATTATTGTGATCCTGAGTGGGTTCATCAGCTAGGGTTGAGGAATAAAGAAACCAGAGATAAAAAGACTTGGGTAAAATGAATTCGGTCGTGTCATTCCTTTCTTCCTTTGTCTTCAGTTTACACCTGGTAATGAACCCGTGGAGGCTCGGAGGTATTGTTCAAGTTTCCTTTTGTTTTATTTTTGTGTGTGTGGCAGGTTTGTTTACAATTTCCAAAGGGGTTTTTCTCAATCTTGAGGAATACAAATTGAGGAGGGGGGAGAGGAGAATAAGAAGGGAAGGTGTTTGAGGAGTCTGAAGACAGGAGGTGGCCTCACAATAAGGGAGGCTGTTCTGTTTTTGTTTTTCTTCTCCAAGAGGCCAGGATGGATGGCCCTAGTTTCATCAAATACAGGTTTTACAGAATTCCTCCATGTCCTGCCTCGGGGAATCGGGCTTTGGAAAATTAAGTGTCCATCAAATCAGGAGGAGGCTGGTACAGTTTCTATCCCCTTCCCGCCCCCCACCCCTTGCTTTTTGAAAGGCTTAAAAAAAAGAGCCCTTTGTTGTCTTTTCAAGGAAAGTTACACTGAAATTCATCTGTGCGGTATTCATGGACTTCATTTGTGCCATTCATAGGCGGCTGTAGGTTCTGCGGGACAATGGTGTTGAATGCATAGCCCCAACACTCAAAGCAGCATGTTGGGAAAAGGTTCAAGACCTTTCTTTTACTTTCTCTTTCTCTCTCTCTCTCTCTCTCTCTCTCACTCTCTCTCTGTCTTTTTTAAGAAACGGAGATTTTCCCACCTCCCATCTAGATCAGATTTCTCCACCACATGCCATTGAAGCTTCTCAGGGCTAAGATTTATGCCTGTCATTTCCCGACATTTTCCTCTGAACTGCAAACTTTAAAATACCTTTTAGGGAAACTTATTTGGAATTTCATTTTAATGGGATTTATGAATAAATCTCCATCTTAATGCTGACTAAGCTTTAAACATCCATTCCAGGAGAACACTATTAGATCTTTACATTTTAAATTTTAAATCATTTGACTGTGAAGGCATAAAACGTTTTTATATTTGTGAGTGCCATGTGCTCAAGCATTTCTGTTAAAGACCTTTTTTTTTCCCTTGAATAATTCTGGGCTCCAGAGGAGATATTGCATCAACTACCTCCCTTTCTCATGTAGATGCCTGTATACATTCTGTGCATTTATTTGTCTCACCTGCGAGGACAGATATACTATGGCAGCCTGTTGCCATGCTGCACTTTCCTTTTAAAAAACAGTTGATTTTCTTCCTTCACTTTGAAACCTTTAACCTCAGTTTTATTTTTAAATGCTATGAGCCCTCAAAGTCCGATTAAAAGAAGTGACGCTTTCTTCCTACCTGCCCTTACCCAGATCCCTGTTGTAGGATGTAAATGAAGATGAAAGATGGATCATAGTCCTCATCTTAAAAAAAAACAAAAACAAAAACTCCAGGCTAATGTCAGGGGCTTTCAAGTGTCAAACCTCTACTGTGTTCTCTGTGTCCGGTGTCACTTTCCCCGTCTGTCCACAGACTCCTCCTACTCAGAACCTCCAGATGTTCAGCAGCAGTTGAACCACTACCAGTCAGCTGCCCTGGCAAGGAACAACAGCCGTGCCAGCCCCGTGCCTCTCTCTGGGGCCGCCGGGGGCGCTGAGCAGAAAACCGAAGCTGTTCTTCACTGCGAATTCTGTGAATTCTCCTCTGGCTACATCCAGAGCATCAGACGCCATTATAGGGACAAGCATGGCGGGAAGAAGCTCTTCAAGTGCAAAGACTGCTCCTTTTACACAGGCTTTAAGTAAGTGGCATGAGGACCAGCCTTGACAAACAAGGTGCCTGCGCCTGTTCCGCCCCTCACTGCACTCTTCCCTACACTCTCCTACCTGGAGCTCAGGGAAGGCCCTGCCTGCGGGATGATACAGGCATTGGGTCCAATCTTCATAAAAGGAGGCTACTTCCAGAGGACTGTTTTGGGGTTTGTGGAAGGGGTTTGGGATGAAGAGCTATATCAGAACAAATGGGTTTAAAAATTAGAGCCAGTGAGCACCCAAGCAGTGTGAGATAATGGTAAGGGATTTCTCTGGCCCAGGGCACGAAGCAATGAGTGTTTTTCCTTCAGAGGACTATCCTCCCTTTTTAAAATTTGTCTTTGGAAAAAAAAAAAGTATATATGTTTTTGAAAGCGAAGTCAAAGTCAAGAGAGAACATCCAGCAATTGTGGTTTCCCTGCTACGCTTAGAGAAAATTCGTATTTCTTAAGATCATGTCGTTGAAAGACAGCCAGAGAATCAAGACTCCAGCACTGTGAAGACTAGAAGTGAGCCAACTGTAGAGAGATTGTTCCAATCCAGAAAAAGATAATCCAAAGCCCCCCTTGCTCCTATGTATAACAGCATTGGTGAACTCAAAGAATGTTGCGCTTCCTCTGGTGTAATCTAGACTCTTGTGATTTAATCTTGTCCTGTGCAACCCTGTTTATGTTAGTGGTTACGGGTATAGACATTAGAGCCTGACTGCCTGGGTTTGAATCCCAGCTTTGCCCCTGACTAGCTGGTTGGCTTCGTACAAGTCCCTAAGCTTCTCTGTTTCTCCTGTTCCTAATCTGTAAAACAAAGATAGTAATACTACCTAACTTCTAGGGCTCATGTGAGGAGTAAAAAAGTACTCAGAATAGTGCTTGGCACAAAGGGAACACTAATAAGTGTGACAATATCATAGAAAGCTATTCTGATAATATAATATTAGATGCTGTGTTACAGATAGAAAGCCATTATTATCTGTTCCTGTTGCAATTAGGACCTGAGCCTTCGGCCACTCTAGTACTTCAATACAGACTCCAGAGAACCAAGGTGGGGGAAAGTAGGCTTCATGGCCTAAGAAAAACAGGAATTGGAAGAATAAGTCTCTTTTCCACCAACATCTTAGTTGCTGGGATTTGATGGAAAATGTGTTATATCTCTGGCTATTAATTTGGTTCAGTTGTTTTTCAGATAAATATGTATGTGACCTTAAAACTGAGAAAAGGCTAAAGACCCAGATAACAAGGGCCCACTGACAGGTGTTCATGTCTCCCCAGAGAGAAGTACTTGTGTTAAGAAGAAGGGGCCCTTGCCCATTAAACTCTTGGTTTCATCCATTTTTATGAGACATTTAAGGCTTTGTAAATGTGGAAGTTTTTAAAAGGATGGAGGGGAAGGCAACAATACCCTTCCACCTTCAGGCTGTTAGAACAGCTGTGATATGGTTTACCTGATCATCTGCCGCCATGATGTCCCAACCACCGTGCCCTCCCCACCCTTACCTATGAAGGGTCACACGGGCAGCCGGTTAATTAACCTGATTCTAGTCCCTCTCCCTCTGAGCATGATGAGAAATATGTTCTCATTGGGATTTTGGTTTTATATTTTTAATAAAAAACTTCTAATCTTGAAGACTAAAGTGTTTGGGGAAATCCATTTCTTTTCAAACTAAGCCATGAACCCAGCCAAGTGGCACAATTTTCAAAAAGAAGTTACCACTGCATGACAAGGTTCAGTTATCGGATGAGTGACCAAGGAGCTTATGGTCAGCAAACACGCTTAACGGCTATGTTTTTGGCCCCTCGAGCTGGGGTGTCACACCCAGAAGCTCCGTAGGAAGGTGGCCAGCAGGGGATGTGTGAGTGACCTGACCCCCTATCACACTCATTGCCTCTCCCCCACACCTCTCTCCCAGATCTGCTTTTACTATGCACGTGGAAGCTGGGCATTCGGCGGTTCCTGAGGAGGGCCCCAAAGATCTCCGCTGTCCTCTCTGCCTCTATCACACCAAATACAAACGCAACATGATCGACCACATCGTGCTGCACCGAGGTAACCTGCCTAAGCGCGGTTTTCTGGGGGCACGGGTGAGGGTGGTATTACAGGGATGCCCTGTCAGAGTGGCCTTGGCACCTTTTCCCTGGTCCGCCATTCCTCACCTTATCTCCAGGCAGGAAATCACAGTGATCACCACAGTGACAGACAACGGTAAAAACCCCTTCAGGCTGCAAGCATGTCCTCCACGTGGAGGGAGGCAAAGGTGATGAGCTCTGCCACGAACACTTCTCTGAGGCTTCTCAGCGCCAGGGATTTTCACATTCTCATTCCTCTGCCCTCACAACCTTGCTGAGGAAGGAGTGCATGAGAAACAGAAAGGGCTGGTGAGGACTCATTTATAAAACGAGAAGAGCTGCTATATGGTTGTAAGCAATTTGCTGGAGGGAGACCAAAATGATGATTTCCGAAAAGCAGAATGCGGAGTTTCTCTTGAAATGGATGGAGAGAGAAAAGTTTGAAAAAAATGAAAGTGGCCTGATAAATTTTAGAAGTCCCATAGGCTTTGGATTTAAATTCTGGTTTTAAAGCCTCTTGTATTCACCTGCTTTCTCATCTGTAAAAAGAGAGGACAGTGAAGCCTATGAAATAACAGGCAAAAGGTCTAGTGCGTTCCGTAGTGGAGGCATTCTGGGTGTTCTGTAAATGTTGGTTCCTGTTGATAAACAGGGATATTTCTTTCAAGTCCTCTTTGGTTTTTCTTTCAGTTGAGTTTACGCTTGGCCAATTAAAACACTGTTAAACAAAAGGCTTCCTCTGCATTGGAAGGAAAAATATGTTTATGTAGAAACTACTTTGTCTAAAAAGAGTCAAGCCAGAGGTAGATGGAAAAAGATTATTGGAGTACCAGTAATCTCTTGCTGCTTCCATCATCCACCGATCTTTCCATCTTTCCTTCGTTCTTTCCCTCCCTCTTTGTCTTCCTCTTCTTTCTTGTCTTCCTTCCTTTGCCTTTAACCTTTCAGGAAGCTTTTTAGTATTTGCCACATATACCTCAAAAGCAGTGAGTGTCTTCTGCTATCCTGCTGAGATGTCGCTCGCCCTGAAATGCTGGATGCTTTTTGAGCATTTTCAAAGTTGCCCGCATTTCCCCAGAGCCACTGCCTTGGGCCATTGCATTTTGTGACACTTCGCCATGTCTGCTGCGTACCCCATGGAAGGCCACTCTAATAAGATGTGAGGTCGCTGCTGGCCGGGACAGCCGCTTACAGGAGGGGAGAAACAGGGTAGGAACATTTAGGCAGGAATTTTGGGCCAGAGCGGACCCACCTGGTGTTGTACCTCAGTCACCTGGCTTCTGGTCCCCAGACCCACATGCTGTGGTGGCTCTGGGCCCCCTCACGGTGTGGGGAAAGGCCATGAGCAGTGCTGCTGCCGAGCAAAAAGAAATGGTGAGGCCTCACTTCTATGTTGATTCCCTCTGGGTTCCCATACTGCTGCCTGGTGGGGTCAGAGCTTCCGTGTCTAATGAGCTCAATGATTTTCCTTCCCTGAGCCAAGAATTCAAGAAAGGGGGTGGGGGGCAGAGAGTAAATGCTAACGCCGCGACGTGCCATTGGAGCGTTCCACTTGACGCTAAGTCACTCCTGTCCAGCAATATCATGAGGGCTCGTACTATTACCTGTATTCCCGCTTCACATGTGGGGAACTTGAAACTGAAGAAAACTGCTTTTTCTTTGATTTGCTATAGTTATTTGTGGTCACCTCACAAAGGATTTAAGGTACCTTAAAGATATTTGTGCAGAACTATAGGATTAAACCAGATGGGGAAATTGGGGCAGAAATGCAAAATAAGAAGAAACTGGTTGAAAGTTCCCTGGAAGCAGAAAGAAGCTCCCCAAGAGGCCGGGGCCCAGCGCACACCACGATGCGCTGTGCACCTGTTAGCAGCAGGCTGTGGCGTGGGCTCTGAGTGTCCAGCCACCCATGGCAGAGAACAAAACTGAAGCGACTGGGTTTAAATAAGACTTGTGAAATTCTGTTCAGAGTTTTAGGAATCCTAGACACTGAATCCTGAAGGAAGTTCTCCAGTGGGGTCTCCTGAAGGGGCTGTGTACGATATAGCGTGTATTGTCGCCGCCACAAAGACAGTGGTCAGTCCCTCAGGGGCAATGAGGGCCGGGCAGCTGAACTGGTGTCACTCAAGCAGTAACAGTGCAGCTGAGGGTCAACTCCAGTCCTCTGATCCCATGACCCATCCATTACACTGACTGTCACCGGTTACATACAATCTCTTCTGTTTATTTGTAGAGGTAACTTACATTAAAAGAGCCATCTAAACATATAAATACTATCCTTCTCAGGATCGGAAAGCACACAATCTGGAATAAAGGAGTATCTGAGGATGGGTAGTAATAATGACAACATTAACAACAACAGTTACTATTACTCAGTGCTTCCTAGTACCAGGTGCTGTGCCAAGTGATTCCAGTATGTTATTTTGTGGAATTCTCACAAAACCCTATCTGATAGGTATTACCGCTATCCCTGACAACACGGAGAAAAGGTTCAGAAGGCTGAGAGCCACCCAGGGTCCAAATGACTAATACGTGACCCAGCTGGGATCTGAACCCAGGCTTGTCTGCCCCATAGCCCGTGCCTGTAACCACCAGGCGTCACTGTCTCACGCTTGGGAGGATGGTTGGTGTCACCCTGTTGAACATTCTAACGGCTGTGGCAGCTGGGTCTGAGGATGGAGAGATCTGTGGGGCTAGAGGTCAGAGAGGAGGCAACAGGTGCCTCAGGGTAGCCGTGTCTGCCACCTGTGTCCTGGCCTGGCTTCGGAGTCCCATCTCAACTCAAAATGGCATCTCAGTGGGATGCTGGTCTTGTCAAGAGATGGGGTTGGGTGTCTGCCTTGCGGTTTCAGGGTGGGGCTGATCTCAAAGTAACAAGGTGTGGCCCCTTCTGCACCTGTGCCCTCCTTGCTCTGCAGAGGAGTAAACATCTCTGGTCTCTAGGGCTTGCAGTAAGAGAGCTTTCTGAGGCCTTGGTTAATTAAAATACTCGGGATGAAAGGCAAGAAAAACAACTTCTGAACTGGCCCTGGACTGAGATCCGGCTTGCAAGAATAGAGTTTCCTGAGCTTTTTATGCAGACATAATGATATATTTAAATAGGGAGGAAAGAGAGGAGAAGCCGTTTCACTCATGGGAAATCTGAATGGGCGATGATCATGGGTTTATGTTGGCTGTGGCCACCGAGAGCGTACTGTTTATCCAGGCATTCGGCAAGCGTTCATTACATGCCACACTGCTGGGTTCGTGGGCAAGATGAGGTGCAGAAGAGCCAGTACCTACCCTCCTCAGGGAGATGCAGCATGTGCAGAAGTCTGTGTAAGCTAGTGAGTGATGGGTATCTGGGAGATTCACCGCAGCAGGTGTATTTGTGTCCAGGGCAGAAAAAGGTGGTGGAGGATGGCTTTCAAACTGAGCCCTGATGACATTTCAGCAGGCAGAGAAGACTGAAGGTGGGGTATGTTAGTTTCCTGGGTGGCCTAAAACACCAGTGTACTCTCTTGTTGCTCTGGGGCCCAGAAGTTTGATACCAAGGTGACAGCAGGGCTCTGCTCCCTGTGAAGGCTCTCAACAGGAATCCTTCCCTGGCTCTGCCTGGCTTCCTGTGGCTTCTGACATCCTTGCCTTGTAGCTACATCATTCCTTTCTCTGCATCTGTCGGCACTTGACCTTCTTCTCTTGTGTGTCCCCCGTGTGCCCTCTCCTCTTATAAGAATACTACTCCTTGAGTTTAGGCCCACCTCAATCCACTATGGCCTCATCCTGACCAGTTATATCTGCAAAGACCTTCTGTCCCAATAAGGTCACATTCTGAGGTACACATACATTTCTGAGGGGCACTCTTTGACCTATGACATAGGGGAGAGGAAGGAAAAATTTTAGTTGCTCAGGTAGGTGGAAACAAGGTATGTTGATGGAGTGGTATTAGAGTGTTCCGAGACGGGCTGAAGGGAATAGGGGGCAGGGCTGGAAAAGTGTGTTCTGGCAAAATTAGGTAGGGCTCGGTCAGATACCAATGTAGGAGTTTGAACTTTACTCAATAGACAGATGGGAAACCAGGGTACTTTGTGAGTATCAATTTACTAAAGATTGAAACAAAGCATTGGTAGACCCATTTCTTTGAGGAACCTGGGTGAGATTAACATTTGGTGAGACTGGCCATGATTAGACCAGTTTAGAAAGGGAAAAAGTAAGCCCTGAGATTTTCGTTTGAAGGAAAAGGTTGGTGGTAGGACTTTTTAGTGGGTTTTCATTCAGTGCAACAAATATTTATTGAACATCGACCATATGCTGGCATTCTTTTATACTCTAGGGATACAGCCATGAAGAGTCAGACAAGGTCTGTGCACTGAAGGAACTTCAACTTTAATAGGAGGAATGAACAAGGAAATAGATAGTTTCATGAGAACATTTCCACGGAGTTTCTCAGTTTATCACCACCACACAAAGCATGACGCTTTGTGCTGTACCTTGCACAAGGTACCTGCCTGTACCTTGCACACCTATAGCACACCTGGGAAATTGGGTACAGATTGAATTATAGGGGATGAATGGCACCTGGGTGGCTCAGTCAGTTAAGTGTCCGACTTTGACTCAGGTCATGATCTCATGTTCGTGCGTTCAAGCCCCACGTTGGGCTCTGTGCTGACAGCTCAGAGCCTGAAGCCTCTTTTGGATTCTGTGTCTTCCTCTCTCTCTCTGCCCCACCCCCGCTCACGCTCTGTGTCTCTCAAAAATGAACAAAAATTTTTTAAAAATTAAAAAGAAAAAAGAATTATAGGGGATGAAACACAGTCTTCCCAGATATTTTTATTTATAATTATGGAACTGTGTAATCACTGAGGTTGGTCTCTAGTTGGCATATTAGCTTAAAGCTTCTGTTTCCCAGCCTGTAACCCCAGGACTTAAGCAAACACTGAATTTAACATTGAATCCTGCGGGTGGGTGTCTTTTTGAAATGGAACTTATCTCCCCTAATTTATCTGATCTCTGTCTTTTTTCTTGAGAAAAACAAAATCTACAGTGAGATTGCCAGTCTTTCATTTTACTCAGGGAAATTACATGTTCCATCTCCGTCAAATACCTTTCTTTGCCTATTAGAATTAGAGGTGCAGTTCCCAGCTTTCTCTAGCTTGACATCAGTAGCCCAGCTAATAGCACATTTAATAATTTCTTAACCAGGAGCTGTTGCCCTTATGTTAATGTGTGTCCATTTATGGTTATGTTTTGGAATGACTGTTTTATAGAAACTATTGTTATGTTCCTAATGGCTTTCTAGTACTCAGCTTTTATCTCTTGTGTGGCTGAGAGTAATGGGTGGGGCTTTGGTTTGGCCCAAAGTGGGTCTCCACCCTTTAGCATGATCATTTGCATACGGGTTTGTTGGCGTGAATGACTTCCAAATCTCTCCCTGCTTCCTTCAGACTTGGCAGGTTGTGAGGAGGAAACCCATGAGTGTTGTGGTCTGCCTTTCAGGAAGAATTTTCACTTGGTGATACTGGACTCCACAGTGATGTGGTTTTTCTCTGTTTTGAGCCGAAATGACCCTTCGCCCTCCTTGTAGTTGCAAATCTGCTGATTTTTCCCCTGAGCACCATGGGAGCTTCACAGCACAAACTTCTAGGCTCTTTTGCACCTTAGTTCCTGCAGGCTTCCGTGTGGCATTACTATGGGGTCCAGCCTCTTGAGTTTTATGTCCAGCTGCAGCACCAAGCGACGTTTGAGTAGGAAGAGATGAGAGACACAATCTATCTTGTAGTCAAACTGGTGAAGTCATAATATTTTTGCAGCCAGCTCTGGAAGCTGAGTCACAATGAGTGTGATTCAAGCCTTGGTTTTTTCACCGAAGGTAATTTTGAGAGGTGTGAAGTCAAGAAAGGCCCACAGTTGTCGCTGCACCCACAGGAAAAAAGAAAAAAAGCCCTCAGCACTCAGCTTCTGTAGCCAAGACAGGGCTCCATCCATACCTGGAAACATTCCAGTCTCTCACTTTATGTCCTTGACTTGCCTCAGTAATGAATAACCTCATTCAGGAAACACTGTCGGTGATTTGCTCGCCTTTCAAAGTCTCTCTTGTGTTTTATCTTGGTCATGTTAGCCGTGTTTTTAGAAAGTGAAAAAAATTAACTTTTTTTCCTAAAATTAATATCTTAGTAAAAATCCATGTAACTAAGAGACTTGGGATGTTGGTGATGTCTTAGTTTGGAAATGGGAAGTCTTACGTTTCAGGGTAAGTGAGCAGGAAATTATCTTTTATCTAAGTCAGAAGATATTCAAAAGAAATTCAGATAGAAACGGTTGCCTTAGACCTGCATGTTGCTTTTGTATTCTTAAACAATTGGGGGAAAAGCCTCATAAATATACCATGTGCAGATTGGATGTTCGAGGAGAGTGCTTTTCAAGGGTGGAGGAGGAGGGCACTGGCCAACTTCAGGCAGGAGACCTGTGCTCCCAGGTAACAATTTGGCTCTGAACCAGAAGAGTGACTTTGAAGAAGTAGTTCAACAAACCAGTCCTCAGTTTCCACATCGATAAACTAAAGATAATAAAGCTGACTTGGCAGCAGTGAGGGTAGAGTACCTAACAGTGCTTGAAACCTAGTGGGCTCTTGGTAAATTGGTGCAGTCATTTACGTGAATTATTATTACTTAAACTCCGGAGTATATCGGGTGCTCACAACTTTGTGTAGAATTCACTTAGACACACATAGTGAAATTGGAAACGGCCAAGAAAACTAACCAAGGTGGTAGAGGAATTGAAAGGGAGACCCATTAAAAAACAGGTCTGAAAGAAGCGATTATTTTCAGGCAGACGTGAAGACTGGGGGCTGAGTGCATGGCTGTCTCCAAGGTCTTTGAGGCATCGTTACGTCAAACATTATGCCAGCCTTTGTCCGTCTCCACTGAGCTCAACAGAACCAGAGCCAGAGACGGAGAGTTGAAATGACAGTAGACAGTGTCAAAATACAGGGAGAGCAAAGCAGGGGGATGCATTCTCAAAGAAGGTGCCAGAGAAGTTTGTGTCAGCATTTCCTCAGAGCACCTGGGTGTGGGGGCTGGTCCCAGGGGTTCCTCCCGTAGTCCCGTCTCTTGACACAAGCACCGCTTCCTCATGGTTCTTGTCCAGGCGCGTCTTTCCCAGAGCAGCTGGAGGTACTGCTCGACACTTTGTCTAAGAGCAGTGGTGCTCCACCGGAGTCCATCTTGCCTCCTCAGGGTGCATTTGTCTGGAGGCATTTTTGGTTGTCACCCCTGGGGAAGTGGGGGTGTGCTGGCCTATGGTAGGTAGAGGCCAGGGATGCTGATAAATATCCTACAATACATAGTCCAGTCCCCACAGTAGAGATGTATCTGAGGCCAGATAAGTGTTTACTAACAAAATGTCAATAGTGCTACTACTGAGAAACCCTGGGCTCGAGGACCAGAACATCATAGTATGGGCTTTCTCAAGGCTGTGGCTGGCTCGTGCCAAAGCATTTTTTTCCTCCGATTACACCAAACCATGGAACTGAATGGTTAGGAAGACTGTTAAACATTTGCTATTCTAAGAAAATGTGTGGATTACATTATAATCATGTGTTTCTTAGCTGTCTGCTCTACTTTGGTTTAAAAATATTTATATTTCTAAATAAGCGACTGACTCTTTGTATAGGGAAAATAACATATGCATTAGAGCGCTGGGGAGTGAGTAGCAGACACCACCTTCCACGCTTCCTCTGGCCAGCTTTTTGCTGGCCAATTAATTGCTGTATTCAAGGACTCCCAAGGCAATGACTGCCCTGCAGTGAGAATGTGGTGGTGGAGACTAAGGCATGGCCTTGGGTGGTGGAAATTCCCCAGGGGTCAATGCAGGCCAGCAACAAAGGGAGAGAGGGAGAGCTCACAGGGAGAATCGCCTCAGTACACACAACACTGATGCTCTGGAAACACAGCTACTCAGTGACTCTGAGAATAAATCACGCTTTCTTGACTTAATAATACATTGCTGTTTCTAAATAATATAAGTATATGTTGTGTGCGTCCATTTGTAAACTTTCAGAGTCTTCTGAAATCCAGACACAGCATGAAAACACACGCTATATTTGATCCCTGCATAAATAGCACAGATTTTAATTTTATCCCAGTTATGGATATCTGGCGCGTGCGCCGATACTCTGGGCAGACTGGTGTGAAATTTAATTTGAGCAGTTAAACACAAGGGTGAGAGAGTGCAAAATAAACAAGCGCACGCATTTCCAGCCCTACAGCATTTGGTATGTTAATGGGAAAAGCACCCAAATCCTCTCTCTCTTTTATTTTTTCCCTTGTGACAATCAGATTACAGATTGTCTGAAAAGGCACAAATCCTCCCTATCTCCCACGCCACCCCCGCCTCCCCCTGAATGTTGCCTGCAGCCATTTCATTTGTGAGCTCTTCCTACTTAGAGCTGGAGTTTTAGTGAATGAAAATGTACAGGTCCTTTGTTTTTAGATTTGTTTTTAGATCCCCTTGGTTTCAGGACAAGGGAAACAGTCTCCTTGAGAACTTCTTGGAAAGGGGAAACAGGAGTGGAATTTGGAAATGGTAGGACATAAAGGATTTGCAGTTGGCCAGGCAGGGATGCAGACCTCAGCTGGCCAATGACAACGTCTGTGACTTCTGGAAAGTTACTCAAGAGCCCTGTTCCTTGCTTTACTAGTTTGCAAAAACAGGAGCAACTCCAGCCTAACAGAGTTGTCTGGAAGATGCACAGTGGCTGCACATAGGTGCTTGGCAGCTTTCCATTTCCTTCCTGCTTAGTGACATCTGTAAGTCCAGCCTCAGTAGCGCTTACTGAGGAACTGGGATGTGCTCATGGTTGCTGTCAGTAATCATTAATGTTGGTAAAGATGGCGGCCACTTCTTTTCTCCTCCTTTGGCCACCTCCATTCAGGAGTTAGCGAGCACCTTCCAGCCTGCCCACCTCTCTGTAAAGATCATTCTGGGTGTTAAGTACACAGAGAGCTTTTGGCCTTACAGGGTGCCTGGGTGGCTCAGTGAGTTGAGCATCTGACTTTAGCTCAGGTCATGATCTCACGGTTCGTGGGTTCGAGCCCCACATCAGGCTGTGCTGACAGCTCAGAGTCTGGAAGCTGCTTTGAATTCTGTGTCTCCTTCTCTCTCTGCCCCTCCTCCACTCACACTTGCTCTCTCACTCTCTCTCTGAACAATAAATAAACATTAAAAAAAAAAAACCTACTTGTGCCAGAGGAAGGTGCTGTTTGGGGAATTGAGGGAGGGGCAGTGTGCATGTGAGTTCATGGACACAGACCCCTGCGAAGCAGCAAAACTGGGTGCGTTTCTTCCTATACTCCAAAGAAAGAGCACATGCTTACGTTACCATCAGTAAAAATTTCCCCTTTCCGTTCAATTTGTTTCCACAGAAGAGCGCGTCGTCCCCATTGAGGTGTGCCGTTCCAAACTGTCAAAATACTTGCAGGGAGTAGTTTTCCGCTGTGATAAGTGTACCTTCACCTGCTCCAGTGACGAGAGCCTCCAGCAACACATAGAAAAGCACAATGAACTGAAACCTTACAAATGCCAGCTCTGCTACTATGAGACCAAGCACACGGAGGAGCTGGACAGCCACCTTCGGGACGAGCATAAGGTACCAGCCCTTCCTACCCCTGCCACTCAGCATATGTTGGGGTGGGGGTGCGCCTGGTGGGGAGACAGAGCCGAGTTTAGTCACACCCACTGTGTGACTTGAACTAAAATAATATTTAAAGTGAGGTTCGGGGTTTTTGCTATGATGAAAGAAACGCACGGTCACTTTAGAGAATTGGAACACATAGATGGAGATAAGGAAAATCACCCCTCAGGCTACCACCCGAATCCAACCGCCTGACATTTTCTGTCTCTTTGCCGCCACCTTCCTTTGTTGTACATCCTTCTGACTATACTATACAGGAAATGTTTGTCCTCCTTACATTTTTTTTTTTTTTTTACTTAATGACCTAACAGGAATCATTTTTCCATATTACTTTAAATGTATTGTCACGGGAACTGACAGACTTTGTGTAAAGAACCAATAGTAAGTATTTTAGGCTTCACGAGCCAGACGGTCTCAGTGGCAACTACTCTGCTGTGCCCTTGTAGTGAGAAAGCAGCAACAGATAAGACCTGAGAGAATGGGCATGATGGCTGTGTGTCAGTAAAACTGTCTGTATGGAGGGGAGCCACAGCCTGCACTATCGCTGCTGGCCCCTGTCCTGGTGGCTGCGCCTCCTTGTCCCTCAGCCATGTAGGCTGTTTCCAGTATTTTTGCTAACTACTGACATTTTCCAAGGCGTTGCTATTTGGGTCTAAACACTCTAAGTGCCATATAACAGGTGTTTTATTTGGGGCAGAGGACTGATAAAGAACAAATCAATACAGACCTAAAATAAGGGGTTTGTGGAAAACCTTCTCTCCAGAGGTCTGCTGATCAGAAGGCAGAGTCCTACGGGGTGACCTCAGAGGGCTTATTTGGCCCATGGAAACCGAGACCACTGCTTCTGGTTTTGTGTCTTGCCCAGAGTGCAGAGGAGTTAAGATTTGTATTTGTTTCATTGAAAAAAAAAAAAAAAAGCCTATTGGAATGTTTTCTAATTAACCAACATGTCAAGGGAGTGTTTACTTAAGGTGCAAATGAGGATCGCTTTTGATAGTTTCCTTTTTCTGTGATCTGTGTCTCTGCTTCTCTGGCCTTACAAACCCAAGTTATCAAGATGTTAGTCTGAGTCCTCTGCACCCAAGGGTCGCCATTTTTCTGCCGGGTGTTGGAAGAGAAGGCTGAGCTCTGTTTCCCATCCACAGTGTAATGGTTCCATGGTCACTTTTCTGCTTTGGAACGTGTTCGTTCTGTAAAGTGTCTGCCCAACAAAACGAAAGGAGAGAAGAAGAGCCTGAATTTACCTCACTGCAAAACTTTTCATATCCTTTCTTATTCAAACTTCCTGGGCATTTCTGCCCCCAAACTCAAAAGGAAAAACCAAGCTGTCTACATTTATGCACATGGATCTTATTTATGTAACCATCTCAGATCTTTTTATTATAGTGTTCAAGCCTTTGGGCTGGTATTTTGGGAGAGAGCAAACCCGGAAGATACATTCTTCCCTGGTGCTTACACAGTTGCTGTGAGTCACTGGTGACAAGGTTAGAACCATGCAGATGTGGAAGTGGGGGCTTCCCGAGCAGACACAGGAGGCTGGGGCTTCAGGAAACCCGTCAGGGAAATGGGCTGCTCTGGAAAGAAGGGGCCCAATTTAGACCCTTTGGAACCAAAGAGACCTGAGTTTGAATCTTGTCTCCACTATTTACTGTACAACTTCAGTAAGTCACTTAAATTTCTCTCTCTGTTCTCTGATTTCTAAATAGGAATCATTTTCTCTATCCCAGAAGTTGTATAAGATTCAGTGAAGTCCTGCTGTGTCCCACACTTTGGGACTCTGTGTGTTCCTTAGTCCACCTAGGAGTTGAGCTGTGGCGCCTATCAGAAAGGCAGTTCTGTTCCCGAGGAACTAAAATGTATTTTAAAATCACTAATTCTGTCTAGCATCTTAGATATGGCCTTTGATGTTATATTTTCACTATGTCATGTTATATTCTTTAATTTTATTCTTTCTCTTGGTTCACCAGCTTATTAAGTCCAGTGAGCACCTAATTGAGGCTAAAGAATTGCCACTTCCAGCATACTTAATGACGTTTATCTCGGTTTCAATTGTTGTTAAGTTTATGAGACTTGGGCTTATTACTGATGACAGCACTTTCTTTTCTCCATTTTCTGTCTCTTCTCTCTAAATGATGAGTACAAAATGCAGTTTGAAGTTTTAAAATAATTATCCAAGTTGTTTATTTTATAAACAAGGATAGCAATGCTGTTGAAACTGAAGTTTTGACTGGCAGGCAATGACATACACCTGGTGAAAGTGGTCATTCATTGTGGTGACATCAGCATTTATGAAAGGAGTGTAAAAGTGTCGATGTGCAATGTACTAAAGTGAAGTTTGCTAATAATTCAAATATAAAAGACAAGGACCATAAGGCAAGAACAATGAATTCAAGAACTGGAAAGGAAGAAATGAAACCACTTTTGTCCACAGACAGTGTGATCTTTATACATAGAAAATCCAAAGTAGGGGCTCCTGGGTGGCTTAGTCAGTTAAGCGTCCGACTTTCGCTTAGGTCATGATCTCGCAGTTTATGGGTTCGAGCCCCGCGTCGGGCTCTGTGCTGACTGCCAGCTCAGAGCCTGGAGCCTGTTTCAGCCTGTGACTCTCTCTCTCTGACCCTCCCCTGCTCACGGCTGTCTCTCTCTCTCTCTCCTAAAAATAAATAAAACATTAAAAAAAAAAAAAAAAGAAAATCCAAAGTAAACTGTTTAAAAAGCTGCTAAGAATATTAGTTTAGCAGAGTTGTAGGATATGAGGTAAATATTCAAAAATCAATTCCATGTCTATATACTAGTAATAGGAATCTGAAAATGAAATTTTAAAATGATCAATTTCGTTTACAGTAACATCAAAAAGAGTATATATTTTTAATGTTCATTTATTATTATTTTTTAAATGTTTTTTTTTTAATTTATTTCTAGGAGAGAGAGAGAGACAGCGTGAGCAGGGGAGGGTCAGAGAGAGAGGGAGTCACAGACTCTAAAACAGGCTCCAGGCTCTGAGCTGGCAGTCAGCACAGAGCCCGACGCGGGGCTCAAACCCACGAACCGCGAGATCATGACCTAAGCGAAAGTCGGACGCTTAACCGACTAAGCCACCCAGGCGCCCCTCATTTATTATTTTTGAGGCAGAGACAGAGCACGAGTGGGGGAGGGGCAGAGAGAGAGAGGGGGGGGAGACACAGAATCCGAAGCAGGCTCCAGGCTCTGAGCTGTCAGCACAGAGCCTGATATGGGGCTAGAACTCACGAACTGTGAGAACATGACCCGAACCAAGGTCAGATGCTTAACTGACTGAGCCACCCAGGCGCCCCTCAAAAAGAATATATTTAAGAATAAATTCAACATAAGAACTATGGAAGCTGTACACTAAAAATACAAAATGCTGTTAAGAGAAAGGAAGTAAATTATTGCAATATGTACTATTCCTGGATTAGAGGACTCTGTATCGGCAATTCTTCCCAAATCAATCTACTGATTCAATGTAATCTCTATCAAAATCTCTTTTCTGTGATAGAAATTGACAAACCGATACTGAAATGTAAATGCAAAGGACCTAGACTAGCCTAAACAGTATGGAAAAAGAGCAAAATTGGAAGACTTCACCCTTCCTGATTTCAAAACTTGCTTTAAAGCTACAGTACTCAGGAGCATCAGTGATGCCAGAAGAAAGTCCAGAAATAAACCCTCATCTGTGTGGTCAGTCGATTTTTATCAAAGGTACCAGAGTAATAAGGAAAAGGTGGTTCTTCAACAAATAGGGCTTGTTTGGATTTCCACATACGAAACAATGATCACTGACCCTATGTCACTCCCAACACAAAAATTAAATCAAAATAGATCATAAACTTCCATGTATGAACTGAAACTATACAACTTCTGGAAAAAATAGTAGATAATTTCCCTTGGGTTAGGGGACATTTTCTTAGATCTTATACAAAAGCTATGGACATTAAAGGAAAAAAAATCAGTAAATTAGAGGTCGTTAAATGTAAATTTTTGCTCTTCAGAGACTATTAAGAAAACGAAAAGGCAAGAAACAGATTGGAAGCAAATATTTGCAAAATCCTCAACTGGCAAAGGATTTTAACCAAAACACACAAAGAACTTTTACAACTCACTATTAGTAAGAAGGTAATAATTCAATTAAGAATGAAAAAAAAAATTGGAATAGACATTCAAACTGCTGTGAGGATATACAAATGGCAAATGATCACATGAAAGGATGCTCAGGAAGATTCCTCATTAGGGAAATACAGATGAAATTAATAGTAAGATATCATTACCCACCCACGAGAATGACCAAAATTAAGACTGACAGTGCCAGGGGTGCCTGGGTGGCTCAGTTGGTTAAGCATCCAACTCTTGGTTTCCACTCAAGTCATGAGACCAGGTTTGTGAGATCAAGCCCCGCACTGGGCTGTGTGCTTATAGCTCAGAGCCTGCTTGGGATTCTCTCCCTCTCTATCTCTGCCCCTCCCCCTCAAAATAAATAAATAGGCTTAAAAAAAAAAAAAAGACTGATAGTGCCAAAGTGTTGGCAAAGTTGTGGAGAAACCAGAAATCTCATACAGTGCTGGTTGGAATGTAAAATAGCACATTCACTTTGGCACATTTTAACATACACTTAACCATCTGATCCAGTAAGTCAAATTTCACATAAAGTGGACGGATAAACAAAACGTGCTATATCCATACAGGGGGATACTACTTATCAATAAAGATAAATGAATCTACTGATGTACATAACAATGTGGATAAATCTCAAGAACATCATGTTAAGTGGACAGGAGTCAGACATGAAAGATCATATGTTCTATGATTCCATTTATATGAAATTTCTAGAAAAGGCAAACTATGAAGACAACAAATCAGAGGTTGCTTGGGGCTGGAGGTAGGGAGATTGGTTGCAGAAGTGATGAAGGAACCTCTCAGGGAGATAGAATTCTTAAACC